AAAAGAAAGAGGAATATTATACTTATATAACGAGACATGTCCGCGTCAGCGTTTCTTCAAACAATTAGGATTGTTGTTACGACCGGCGAACGTTGAGATGAAACATGAAGATCGTAATTATTTCTGTATAATAATACGCAAACGAGCTTGACTAACGGGAAAGGTACAACTGGGTTACTCGAGCAATCTGCAGCAGCACGAACATCCAGTGCGCCGCCAAAAGTAATTAAACTATGCTATTCAACAGACGGTCCGTGCCTATTACATGGTTTAACGTTTCGCAGATTACAGTGGGACACAATATGGTGGATTGTTCCACCCGGTTGGTATATACTCTACTTTAATCCGCGCAATCCCGCCGCGTAAATACGCAGGCACGGATGGAGATTGCAAAAACGCGCGCTGCATTTGCATCCTGAATTCCGGGAGAGCGCTCGTGACTAATCATTGTTACCGTGAATGACGCGTCGGTAGGAACCAGGCTTTATGGTGACGGGCGACCGGTTCGGCACGGGGCTCCATTTCATTCGGTGAATTGGATGGACGCGACAGAAACTTCGTTACTTAGTTAAATTGACGGAAATCAAGTTTCCCTCCTACTTGCGGAATTGCGTCGATACGCATTGAAAGCGCAGCCGTGTGTGCCTGGATCAGAATGCCCACGGCTCGACGCCGCGCGCCGCTGTGATTTGCAAGAGGTTGCTTAAGGCCTGTTCTACATTGATCGTATCGTAGCATCGCAAATCGTAGATTCGGCCAATCGGCGTTGAATTAGAACCAGTCTACGACCCTTGCGACGCTACGCTGCAACTAATGTAGAACCGGCCTAAGAGGATCCCTCAATCATCTTTTTTACCGACGCAGTCAGACATAGTTTTCGCGCTTGTAATTCTTTTTATTAACTTTTATGCACAAAATAATACCAGGATAAGTCGCGGACCGCATAGCAGAACATTTTCATACTTAAAACTCTCAGTTCAGAAGTCTGATAAAAAAGATGTTTGAAATTTTCAATTCGTCGTTCTAACTAAATTTAAAATTGGCTTTATAAAATTGCAAAGTTCTTCCACACGATTAAAGTATGCATAAAGACAAAACCAGGGACAGTCAACTTTATATTTAAAAAAACGAAGAGAAATTAAAACTATCACTTTATAAATGAGGTTGTTATAACGCGATAGTTTTAATTTCTCTTCGTTTTTTTTATACAAAGTTGACTGTCCCTGGTTTTGTCTTTATGCGTACTTTAATCGTGCGGAAGAATTTTACCATTTTATAAAGCCAATTTCAAATTTAGTTAGACTACAAATTGAAAATTTCATAAAGTACCAATATCTTTTTTATTAGACTTCTGAACTGAGTGTTTTAAGTATAAAAACGTTCTGCTATCCGCAACTTAACCTGGTATTATTGTGTGCATAAAAGCTAATAAAAAGAATTACAAGCGCGAAAACTATATTTGACTGTGTCGGTAAAAAAAGATGGCTGAAGGATCCTCTTAAAGCATAGGATTCGCGCAATTTCTAGACGCGAAAACGAATTTGAGCTCGAGAAAGAGAGAGAGAGAGAATTGCGAGGCTCGCGTGCGTATCGGTCGCGATGCAACGTATGTGTGTGACATCGTAATTTATACGCCTTGTCAAAAGTGAAGAAGTGCATGAAACGTAATTTTATACCTTCACGAAACGATGAATATTGCGATTTATAACGTTTTCCCGCGGCGGAAACATTAGGCAAACATTTATGAGAAATAAATTGCACATTAATGCGTGCGCGAGCTTTATATTGTCCCGTGTCGCGGGCGGATACACACACTTTTATGTATCGCTCCTGTTGCCGCGTCAGTAATTTGCTACCCATCATTTATTTCCTTTCTCTTTCAGGCGACGAAGCTTTATGAATATTCCTATCGTGCGAAAGTGCCCGATAAAATAGAAATATTGGCTGTAGCGATAGCGGGGCGGAGACGCCGCGCGCGAATCTCGTTGCAGCAGCCGTCGCTCTGCGAACTACTTGAAATGCAAAAGTAAAAAGAGATCTCCGCGTATTAAGTCACTTAAGTATCTCTCGCGGCGCACTTACTTTGATTTCACGAATAATGGATGGCCGACTCTCCGTGCTATAAAAATATTAGCTGACGACATCCCGCAATAATATCGCGGTTCTCTTGCCCGAGCACTGTGCGCGATTACAAGATAATTATTTTGAGATATCATCACTGAAGCTATTTATTTTTTAACCTCACTCCCGTTTCCAATAATGTAATAACCAAGTGTAAAATATAATCAGTGAAATTTTTTTCTACGAGGAAATAGACGCGCGAGATGTCAAACGGTTTCGACGGCTGCGATATTAAAATTGATACGACTGTGTCTCAGATAGAAAATGCTTTGCAATCATTTTTAACAATAAATCGACGTAATACTTGCCGCGACCGTGGAAAACTGACCAACATGTCATTTCTCGCGATTGTCCTCCCACAAGTAGTTTGAATGACTTTCCTCTGCCATTCTAGAGCGACCTTCTATCGATTTTGGCTCCAATCGGAATGTGACTATCTAGGCGTTGGTTGAACAACATTTTGCATTGCCAAATTTCTATCGAATCTCTCTCTTTTGTCTCGCGCAAAAAATACATTCGCGAAATGTTTTTGCAGCGTTTCCGTAAATAATTTTAAGCGGAGAAACACTTTTGAAAGCGCCACCTCACGTTACTTCGCACAAATAGGTCAATAGATTCATAACCGAATTAAAATATTCATTACACATTCTTTCGCTTTGCCATTTGATACATTAAGCGTACGGGGTAATAAGGCATAAAATTTTATATTTTCTATTAGGAACGCAACTGTCTCTGGAAAGTTAGAAAGTAATTTAACTACTTATACGCGAGGTACTAATTAAACCGCTTTTCCCATTTTCCTTCTTTTTGTGTACATAATTTCATTATAGCAGTTCGTTTGTATTATATTATCAGACGAGGTGAAAATTAAGATGTGGTGAATTCAACGCGGCTGGAAACAATGCGGATCCTGGAATCGACGGAGCCACAATACATAGTTCGCTGTATGTTAACGTAGCAACTAAAACATAATTATCCTAATCTCCTGTTCTTTGTGAGCCAGTACATTTAATTCGCATTATTATGATTCTCCTCGTGACGTACGGACAACAAGAAATGTTAATACGCAAAGAAGATTAGCTTATTATCCTGATTTTCCGCAGGATCATCCCCGATCTAATTCCCGACATAGACTATAATCAATTATTAATGAACGCTGGTACATAATTCATGTTCCGTTAAACTAACATTCAGGATTTAACTAATTGTACGCTCTAATAGATTATATTAAAACTTTTTGATGCTATGATAATCTTGTATTATAAGTAATTTGCATCATAATGTCGCTTCGCTCGGCCTGAAAATTTCACGCTGTCGCGCATATTTTGCAAATTTTATCTTGCGAATTATATAAATGTATCGGTAAACATCTCTAGTAAAATTGTCGAATGAAATTGATTTTACTCGTGTAAGTTATTGATTACTTTTAGATGCCATTTCTCGCGATGTGCCAATACAAATGGATATCATCTGTCAATGTTAGTGGATAATGTTATTTGTCGGATATCATTTTGACAAATTGTTATGTATCGAATGAATTCCGTTGAAACGGAATATCCAAATCAAAGAGACTTTCCTTCCCTCTTCTACCCACATCGAGTTTCGTAGTATCATTTATACAGAGAGACACGCGAATTTCCCCCAGTTTCCTTAAAGCGCAAAAATTCTCAGCAGTTTGCCAATCTACTAATATATTTTCTAAACAAGTTTGGTTCCAACAACAGCTAAAGATATAATGCACTCAACGAAAGTTATAATAATGAAAAGCGCACAGCTCAAAGAATATTTTATGCAAATCTTACCTTTCGTAATTCATTATTCGTTATGTTACATAATAAAATATCGCATTATGGAGTATCAAAGCTTTCGGTACATAATAAAATATCGCATTACGAAGTATCAAAGCTTTCGGTGCTCAATATACAACGTAACTTTATTAAATATTGAAACAGACTTGTAGAAGCCCCATGGTCTTATGATTCCCCTATTTCGCGCAGGTTCCCAGACGCAATAGTTAGGATACGTGTAGTTAGCCACAATTAATTGCCATTTAACATGATATTAATCGTAACTTGGTGTGAATCCGTGCGGGAGCTAAGTTAGAGAATAATTCCGCTTCTAACAACGTTATGCAATGAAGGTCACGTGGCTGAAGTAATGTCCCATATGAGTGCCCCAAGCGCTATTCTCTTGAGAAGAATTGCCCATACGAGCGTTCCAAATGGCGCCATAATTCTCGTTGTAAAATGCAGGTCGTAATTTACGATGAGAATCTAGGCACCGCATAATAACTATCGGATTATTGCTACGCGGATGATTGCCGAATTACACGCACGTCGTTAAATAGGGCTTTGTATAATTTTGTCTGGCCACATTGATACATGACCTGCATGCATGAGAATATCAATCTTTCAAATGCGTTTAAAAAAGAAACACCTACGTACAACCTCCACCGACAGCGTTATTCGATAAAAGTTCGAAATTGCTACCACAATACACAGCACTGCATTATGTATGTGCACGAATGAACTTTTTGCAGCAATCCTCTGAGCGTTAAATATTTTTAAATGTAATATGCTATATCTACTTTTATAATTGACTTTACAACAATTAAGAGAGCTTAATATTAGCTTTTATCGCACCTCTTTAAACAAAATTCTGTAAATTATTTCCACAATTTATATAGTGTTACTGCGTTTGTTAACGATCTACATTATAAACATATATCAATCATTTCAGACATTTCATTAATTTTTATTAAATTTCCATTGGATGTATTGACGCGAGATAACTGCGGAATTAAAAATAATTTATTATAATACAATGATTAACTTTGCTCTTTCATAATTATTTTTGAAATCCTAATTTCTTTTTTGTAGAACGAAGTGCTGGTTATGGCGCTAGAAGCTCTATTAAATAAGCACGAAGTACCTCTTCCAACGTCGACAACATCGTCTTTGTAAGTATATTCATTAAAAATGTTCTCTACTATATGTGTTGCGCATACACAAATTATTCCGTCGAAAAAGAAAGTAAAGGAATTTGAATGAAACGTCGCAGAACAATTTTTAATATTGTGACTTAACTTTTTCGTTGTTAGTCATTTAATTCATTAAACTTGTAAACGTTTTGGATGCACTAATAAATACAGTTACGCCTTAATGTGATAGTTTCGACAGTACAAAATATAAATGTGACGCAATATCTTTTTAGAGATTATATTTTGTATGGGATTATTAAAGAAATCCGTATTAAGCACATTAACCAAATCTGTTACCCATAAATTAATATCATTTACTATAGTAAAATTTGCAGTTTAGAAATCAATGTAAAGATTACATTGCGTGCCTATAATATAATTTAAAGTTAACTAAATGAAAAATTGTATATATTTATATGCAATTAATCACGTATCTATAACATACTTCTTAAATATACACGATTTAATAATAAAATATATGTATCGTTTTGTTTTCCAGAGAAACGCTTCTCAATAATGTTGGAAAGGAGGAAAACTATAATTTGCTGGAAGACATTTACGAGACCCTAAATTACGATTGTGGTAAGATAACATGACTTTTATAATTAAATAATAGAAAATGAAATTGATGTCTGTAGAAACCGGGAGTACTATTTTGCGCCCCCACTGTTGAATAAATGTTTAATCGTCACTCACTGCACTGATTTGTTTTCACAACACGGTAAACTATTATTTATTAGTTACTTCGGTTTACTCTAAACGTTACCAAGTTTTAAGAACAAACAACTTGCCGCCGTAAGGCATCGTTTGCGTTCATTATTCAGGCAATTTGTCCATTCGTGTTTGCTCGCGCTCGCTCGCTTAGTTTAGATTCGACTTTAAACGTTGAAACGATTATAACAGATCTATGGCAAGCAAATTATGAAAACTTATCACGTCGACACGTTATTTACTTGAGAAATCGATTAGAACGTTAGTTGCAAGATTACATAAATTTTTCAGAATCGAAAGAAATCATGTGCGAATTGGAAGGAATTCAGAGACACGTAGTCTCTTATGTGGTAAATAATGTTTTACATAATTTATAATAAAATCAGATTGAAAAATTATTTTGATGTGGTTGAAAGAACTGTTATAAGAGGAGGATGTGAAATTTTATTAAGGTTTCTTCAGTCCAGATTATTAGCTTACTTTGAATCGTTCTACTCAAACAAGTGGAAGCTAATTTGGAATAATTCCATGCCAGCGCCAAACGTTACTTTTATGTGATTTTATGTAACTTTTTTGCATTTTTTGCAATTATATCTTAAGTACCATTGTCCGCTTCGGTTTTGCCGCGCAACTGATAACGCGAGAATCCGTTAATACAGGCTTGACCGAGTTTTTAATTGAATGAATACAGAAAAACTAGCGCGAAAAACCCAATCGATATTTACCGCGTCTCAAATGAAATATCCGGTAACCAAGACATTAGCAATTCGACCCATTAATTAAGCAATTGGTGAAGTATCTTTTTTTGTAAACCTGCGCTTTTATTTCTGTCAAAGGAATTAATGGATTTCCTCCCACGGGAGGGGAAAAAAATAAAATTCCGAAATTACAAGAGAATTAACAAGGTTACCAGTTAAATTGAACGCAAAAATTGTAAAATAATAAAATACTGAAATGTTAAAAAAGGTTGCAGTCATTTTTCATGCGCACTTGCAATGGAAGTTAAAATATGAGGGCCGTGAACGTTGCTGTCGTTACAAATAAAGCTCGGGGCGAGGCAGTCGTCCTTCTTCACATTCAAATTATTCCAGCTTTACTAAATGTGTTCGTCCCGGATCCTTGGTTACGCGTTCTACTTTCCCTAGCAACTGCATAGCGACGCGCAATCTGGCATCGTATGATAATATTTTAATTTTGTCCTGCGTTTTAACTCTGCCTGTCACATGCATTTTTGATTTCAGTTTGAAATGCAGCAACGAGGATAATTTGTGTAAAGGAACCAGCGCTGATATTATTTTTGAAAAGTACCGCCAAAGCTAATCCGAGCGTGCAAATATTAAATGTACAAACGTCAAGTATGGTCGTGGGAATGAACGGAAACGAATTATTGCCTAAATCGCGCCTGTTCGCGCAAATGACGCGTTGCGTTGCGTCGGGCAAAAATGGTGCGATATCCTCCCGTTTTTTTATTCCAAATAGCTCGATTGAACTTGATAAACTCGTATATCAGAATTCCGATATAGTTGCTATCAGAGATTAGAAACTATTAGGTGCTGAAATACCTTCATCGATATTTCAATCACACGATTCGATACGATTTTAACGAGGGCGCCGTTGCAAGGCAGATAGACTACACAAATAGGCGGCTATGTGTGGGGGTTTCCTGGCGTTAACGAAGGAACCTACGGATAGGTAATACGTACTCCGAAAGATTAATGAACTAGATGAGCCCGGTCTCGGGAAATCATGCCCGCGATGCCATACCGATCCGAACGTTACACGGTTCTATCTTGTGCACGCGAGCGGCAAACCTTATCGATTCAACCTCACACGCGACGACAAAGCGATATGCTTTTTCCATCGGGATTCGAGAGACGCGTCGGTTCGCTCCGAAAATTTCCTTCGTCTCTTCATAGTCCCGTAAGGATAATCTTGTATTATAAATGGCCCGCCCGTAGGCTGCCGAACCCAGCCGCGGCTGCCGAGTCTTCGAAAAATGGAACGGGAGGCGCGACTGAATATTTCATCGATTGTATATAGAAAGGCCGCGCCGCGGGGAGAAGCGAAAAATTATTCCGCCTTATAACTCGCCCCTCAATTTCCGTATCGTAAAAGCTCGTCCTATGAGACTTGGTCCCGCGACTTCGAACAATAATAGCATTATGCGCTGTTATTGTACATTGTATTGTTGTACAATGCAATCGCGCGGCTCTCACATTTCTGTCCCGCGATTAAATTAACTTCTATCATCCCCGGCATATCTTTACAAGTTGCATTTTACGATCACGGGCGCCTGCAGTTGACGTTTTTATTTCGTTTGATAACGCAGTGTATGCACCGGATTGTAATTAGAAATCTTCATATCGTTAATTACTCCCCGATACTGCATCCACGTGCACTTCTCATAAATTACATGCTTATTAACGTTAATTAATTTTATGTAATACGCACGTGCAGGTACCGGAGGCGCACCGGTGTCTTTGGAAACTTTGTAAGCTGCGAGCTGAGTTTATTTGCGATCAATCTATGTTGCAACGACGACGGACGCGTGGCGCACGCACACGCGGAACTGCTGCATCGCAGAATGCTAATTGAAACAAGCAAAGCCATGCGCTTTCGGAAGAAGCGAGGTTGTTAAAGTCTCTTCAGAAAGTTGTTACAGCTGTCGCTCGGTACACTCGTTGCCGGCGATCATAACCAGCGGTATAACAGGCTTTTCGAGCGACTTCGCGGATTTCACGTACACGGAATTCTATTATTTTAATAGAAACGCAGAGGTAAAGAAAAAAAGGGGGGGAATAAATATACCGCGTTATGTAAAGTGTACAGGCGCCTATAGAGGCTCGAAAGGTTTCCTCTCTGAATATCACACTCGCATTTCACGTGTAGCCATTCTCGACATTGTAGTATGCGTTATCGAATTAATATTTCGTCGATGTGTGCGACGCCCGACGTGCCCTTTTCACCCGCGGCGTACACGGAGGCGCGAGATTTCGTTCCCGGGGCGAGTTTCGGTCGTACGCTAACTTTACTCGCGTCCACGGGAGACGCTCCGCGGTCGCGTACGTAAAATTTATTAGCGGCCGGCCCATAGATCTCGATTATCCGAGGGAGCTCAAGGATAATGCTGTTTGACAGCGACGTTGTTGTCAGATGGTTTTCCACGATCCTTCATCTTCGAGCGCATATTAACCCAATTTACGTGCGGCCGTCGAGCACTGTAGTTACAGTGGAGTACGCTTGAGAAACGTCCCATTAATCATCGCAGACAATCGATGTGCGCATGCAACGTATTCGAATCTGACTTCCCCATCGGAACTTATGAATGGAGCCCCGGGTCGTGTCCGTTTGCCCAAGACAACGGCGGCCGTCGTTCGAGTAATGCGCCCTTTGTGACTAATAGTCTGGCACGTGAAACGCATCGCGGGCGGAATTTAGCGCTCGTAACTTAGAAATACGGTGGCCCTAACGCAATAAACCCGACGCGCGATGTTACGTAACCACATTAGAGAGTGCCTGCGCCACGCTGCGAGCATACCGCGGGCGATTATGCGAAACGCCCTGTTTACCCGCCGTAAAACGTGTAACGCACCGTGATGGTTTCCCGTTAAATATATCGCCAACTTATCTCCTGCGTCAAGACGCTCCTTTGACGACGACAGCGGCGATATACAGTGTTCTCGGTCGAAGTGATCTCCGTAGCCAAGCATGTAATTCTGAAAAAAAAAAAAGGACAAGGGTAGCGGCGCGGTACTTTCAAGTTCAAACAAAACCGCCCCGCGGTCTCTCTCTCATTTTTTTTTCTCTCTCCTAGGCGCGTACACCGTAAAGGCGTGCACCGTAAAGAAATTGCCGTCCCGGTGGATCTCTTTCCCCCCCCCCGCGTTAACGATTACGGCCGGCCCTTGAATATCGAAGTTCACTGATAAAAGCGCATTTTAATGCAATTAATGCGACTCAGTACATTGCACATGTGAGCACAAACAAGAATAGCTTCGGAAATATTTAATATAGCATGTGATTAATAAACGAGATTGCGATAATGATTATTAACAATTTCCCCTATTTACCCGGCAATATTTGCGCCGCTAGGAAAATCATCGAACCATTAAATTCCCCCTTTCCCCTCCCCCCCCGTGCCTGCAGTCTATTAGCAGCGGATGAGCGACGCGCGTATAAACCGCGCTTATCGCCCGTTGACAAATACGCACCGTCGTTTATCAAGCGGCCGGAAAACATGTATTTTTGCTCATAAGGGCCCGCGCCGCGCGAGACAAATCGTCAGCATAAGCCACACATTATTTCCTCCCTCGTGACCCAGAAGCCCCTTTCGCCCTGCACAGCGCGATCACCTCGCATTTCGTATACACGACAGGAAGCGGTTGTTGCTGTGGTTACCGGGGCATACAAGATACTTCTCGTACCAACGTAATGCAATCTCGAGAGAAACTCTAAGACCTCGCCTGTCGCCAAAGATATACGGGACATTAGGCCATTTGCGAGATTGACTCGCGAATAGTCGGTACGCGGGGCGCGTGCGCGCGCGCGCGCTCTCTACGCGCCGAGAATCGTTTATTATCGCCCGAATTTTTACGATAGCGCGGCAACACAAAGGGAAACGCCCGGCGCATTCATACGGGGATAACGCAGACATACCGCCGCTTATTTCGCCCGCGCGTATCGCCGTGACCCAGAAAGCTCTAGCCGAAAATTTCTTTGTCCGCGCTTCCGGGTTAATCGCAGCGTAAACATACACATAAATCAGATAACGTTTCCATTTCCAGGCAGCGTATCGCCCGGTATCGCCGATCGCGGGCAAACATTTGCGATATTTCACCGCGCCATCGATCATATTTATCGGCTAACGACGCGCGCGATTACCGCGGAGCCTGGGGAATATTATTAGGTCGGTGCTCGCTCGCCGAAAGCGCGTCGATTAGAAAAATATCAATGAACACCGGGCGTTACTTCCGTCGATTCGCTGCTTCCGCGCGATATGCGGTGGAACAACATGGGTGCGCCGCACGCGATATAATCCGAATAATTTGCCGTAGAGTATCGCGTAGCGCGGCCGTACAACCGCCATTATAATGATCGTGTTTTCGTAACGACATTTGATGTGAAATAATACGAGATCGTTAAAGCGGCCCTTGCTCACCGCATCTATTTCCGGATTTGCAAGGGACCCGAATACGCCGGGCTTAACACAGCTGAAACGCGGCGTGTAATATT